AAAGAGAGATCAGGAAAAGGTGATTGCAGTGAGAGAAGTAAAACCTGGAATCTGCCTGAAAATTTATCGGTTTGGGTCCATTTGTAGGCTTTTAATTAGGACATTAAAGGCCAGAAACAGGCGGATTATGCTCCATTAAAGGTAAAGTAATACCAGAGATGGATCCCCAGTCTGTGTGTGCTTGTGGGCCTTTTCGGGTGTGTGCCTTAATGAGAGGTGACTGATGACATGCTTGACAAAAAAGGGAGGGATACCAATTAATGCATGTTTGAGCAACTGCGTTTCCGAATTAGGCCGTACACATTTTCACAAAGAATAAGACAAAATGTGGGTTAGGATGAGAAAGAGTCTGAAGCTATAAATCTTTAAAGATGCCGTAAACAAGAACGATAATTGAGGGCTCTTAGGCAGCCGGATAGCGATTTTGATGTACCTCAGCGACCAATTGACAAGCGGGTTGGAAGGGGGGCTGAATGAAAGTCAGAAACCTTTCAAACTGGATCTGGAATCGGTAATCCACTTGTTGCCATACGCTCTTAGCCGACATTGGCGCGATAATGTAAGTGGGGTTGAGAGAAAGAGGAGAAAAAATAGCGGCGGTTAGTGATGCCAGAAGGTTTAAACAGAACATTGTCACTTTGCTAAGTTGCAACTCTGTACTGATAATGGCACCTCTCACTGACGATGCCGGCGAAACGCTCTGGAATGTACCAAGTCAATGATCGGATGCTGTAAAACATAAACTCTGTGACAGAGGACACAGTACTAGGTGCACTCCCCGACCAAATTGCCAAAATGAGGTCGAACCAAAGTCATTAAATTAACACTTGGTCTTGTTGTCAGGGCGACTTAGTGGAGCGCACCTAGTCCGAAGTCGTCTGCCAGCATCAGACAGTGGACTTGGTGCATTCTCAAGTACCAAGTTACGACAATAAGGTCAACCCACGTTTATACTTTGGAAGGAGACGGCAACCATACCAAAGGCCGCACCATCTTGGTCTTCATATCTTCATTTAATTAATGTCAATTTAACTTTTGCCTTTCCGTGGCACAGCGAAAAAGATAGTTAATAGAAGCAATCAAGAAAGTGATTGAAAGACCGATACTTGAGCTTTTCCCACAATCCTATGAATAGGCACCATTATACCGTTATTAGTCTCCAAAGCTCTTAACCGACCTCGTGTGACCGAGTTTTTATTCGAGAATGGTGGACAGTTTCACAGCACACTCGTACAGAATATTTTCCTTCATCCGCCACATGAAAGTCGGAGGGCTACTTCACCACCTCAACAAGGCAAATCTCCTTCGGGTTTTCGTGAAAGCATATTTCGAGTCTCATTCTACCGAACCTGCAGGTCGAAATGGCACCTACATGGCATGAGGCTCTTTAGACATACTTCAAAGTATTCTCTCCGACAGACGTTTGACCTTTTGACCTTTGCTCTTCTGGAGCTGATACTCTTTTACGAAATTGTTTGCTCTAAAATACAGGCCGTCACCAACCTGACCATCGGCTATTCCCTCTTTACGGCGAATCGCTGGAATGCGCTCCAAGTGACACCAATTACTCGAATGGTGGGCCACATAACCAATTGCACCTTCGTCAAGCATCAACAAGGCGTGATTTTGGTGGAGAACAACCTGGCCGATCGACTCCTCAGGTCGCCTAGCACCGTCTTGACGACAGCACCTCTCATTGTTGACTATCTTGTTCAATATAATGACTTTCACGCAAATACAGGACCATATGTAGTTCGATTCGGACTCAGCATCGGCTCGGAGGTGCAGCGTCTGAAGGTGGTTTATAACCGGTTTCTGGACAACAGGTTAGCGCATTTCAGATCAACACCCGAAGCCTTTTCCACTCTTTTTAAAAATAGCCATCAATTGTTTTGGAATATAAAGGTTTGCAAATGATCGTCCAAGACATGTTCCACAAAACTTCCCTCGTCGATCCCGATCAGAGCTGGATCTCTTGTCCAATTGCTATACACCAAAAATGTATCAACGAGCATAGAAAATGCTTTGGTTAGTTGTTTCTCATGTCGGCTGAAGTATTAATATCTGTGTGTGTAGGTGTGTGTAGGTGTGTAAGTTAGGATAAGAGAGCATCAATCATAACTCTGCGTAATTAGAACGGAATATAACGTTAAAAGAGTTAACGCCAAAGGTTCACTTTTTATGGTGTTTTCGTCAGTAAAAAATTATCTTATTACAAAATAAGGTTGTAATTTGGCAATCAAGGGATTATTAGAATACGAAAAGAAACTGGGCTTCCATGAATCTCCTGAGATAACATTATTGGATGGACTTTCATTTCGCAGGAAAGTGAATGAAGAAGAGATTCGTTGGTCGATCTGACCAGATGAGGACGGGTGAATCCTGTTGTAAGGCAGCCGTTTAGCTTTAATACGACCTTCAGGTTGACGCAGTCCACGATACCTCCTTCCTCGTTTCGGGTGAAAAAGGGTTGAGCTTTCGTTAACACTTGGGCAATAACTATGCAGCTCGGTATGGCGATTTTGATATTATATAAATATAAATAAATAAATAAATATATATATATATGTATATATTTCGTAATAACTTTTCTAAATGGCAAGGGAATGCAGGAGGACAAGAGTTTTAAACCAAAGTCTGACTGTCTCTTCGAGTAGACCCACCTTTCGGAAAGAAACTCAACCACTTCTCTCGATTATTTTGTGCCAAAATCGTTTCTGTTTAAAGGACCACTCTTCTGTATGTCTAATCTGTTATGTTTGATTGAGTGATGCTTCCAACCACGTTTACATTCGTTCCATGCATCTCTTAATCTTATCAACTCAACCAGAAGTTTCTTCGGAATTAGACAATTTCAGTCATGCTTTACATTGGATCATTAAATCTTGCCCAACCTGGACTTTTTTTATGCTTTGCAATGACCAGATCAGAGTTATTATTGGTAACCTAAATGCACAAATACACACTCGCACATTCGAACATTCGAGTACCTGTGTTATTTTGACAGAGAAGTGATAGTTTTCCTCCGTTTTTTTAGTTGTTATTGTTTCTGTTTGTTTGACGTTTTATGTCAGGATAGCATCCAGCTCTGACGAAGTCTGTCGACGAAATAGAAATCATCAATTCATTGAAATATGAATCAGTGATTGAGAGAAACTATCCGAAAATACCAAATTTTTTTCCGGACGCATCATTGTCTCTGCTTAATGAGCTATTCTGTTGAGCGTTCAGGCAATGTTAATTAAATCTGGTCTTACTGAGGCTAATTAAAGTACACAGCTTTAAAAGGCCGATTTTCTAAATTGACGATTCAGTGAGTGATACGACATGTGGG